GTAGATTGCTATGTTTTGTGAAATATATCTACCTAAAGAGCATAAACATGTTGTTCAAGTCCACAGCAATTTAGACCCAGAAGGTGTGAGCAGCAAGTCACCGTTTGAAGGTGTAGCAATTAAACATATGTAGAAAAAATTCTTAAATGTTGTGTAATGATTTCTAGTCTTCATATATAGGACTCTTGGAATTGCTAGAATTTCAGTGCACACTGAAAGTTCTCTTGATGCGTTTTGTTTATGCCTTCAAACTTCAACATGTGCTCAGTACTGAGCATGTAGTTGGGCTTTGTAGGTGTTAGGAACTTTCAAAAATCCTTGTTCTTGACCAAAATGTATTATGTGTTTATGTAGCTACTACAGTGCTTTTATAAAAAGATAGCTGTGACTACAAGCACATTTTTCAAGGGTGATGATGAAGTGTTAATAGTAAATGAAATTATTTTACGGGATGCTAAATTTTGCCAGCATGTAAATCTTCCTTTAATGTATTGCAGACTAGTTGCTGTCTTTGGTGCCATCTAGTGTTTTTTTTAATTCACACAAAACACAAATAGAGATTTCAGGGGGAAGTTGCCATATTTTCTTGTCTTGTTTGTTTTTCTTTGCTAGTCTTCATACTCTTTTCCACCATGAATCTTAAAAATACAACTGAAAAATTCCATAAATCTTTATCATCTCACTTCATTTGATTATATCCTAATGTAGGTTCATATATGATACACAAGCTCATCTCAACTGAAAACTTTTCTTGTGCGTCGGTATCTTCTGTGTAACAAGCATTTTGTGAAGTCTTGCATGCTGATACCAGGGAAGACTTGTTGAATTTCTTATTCTAGCAATTGAGTCTCCATGATTACGTCTTCATGCTTTAAGGATTTTGCTTTGTTAGTCTTCTAACTTACTTTGGTAGATGGAAGAGAATTAGTCACATAGGGTGGCAAGGTCGTGGCAATTTTCCATGTAAGGTGTTGGCAATCTTCTACATATTCTTAGGGAATCATGGAATTGTTTGAGTTGGATCAGATGCCCTTTAATGGTTCCTTTCAACTCCGCTGCAGTGAACAGTGACACCTACAGCTTGATCAGGTTGCATCCAGCCTGTCCTTGCATGTCTGCAGGGATAGGGCATCCATCCATCTCTCTGGGCAACCTGTTTCAGTACTTCAGTACTCCTGTAATAAAAACTTTTTCCTTATAACCAATCCAAACCTCTCTTCTTTTCGTTTGAAACTAAGTTCTAACTTTGGGATATAATGTTGTTCTGTGTGCTGAATTTCTGTGGCTGACTGAAATTTCTTTAGCCTTTCAAGAGATGTTAGCCGTCTTGCCCACATGTATCAGAAACTTCTAGCAAATACAAATCTGATACTAGTTGTGCACAAGAGAATGGCAGACAGTTTAAAGTCATAGTTAGCTGTTCTTATTTCTTGATTCTTGGATCTGTTTTCATAAACAGTATGAGAACATGTCACTTCAGCTTTAATACTTTATATTCTTTGGTAATTAAAATGAATATTATATTTGTTTTTATTTAATCAGGGAGTTTACCTTTTTAATAACAAATCAGAAATTTGACATCAATATTTATGAACTGTAAAGAATGAATCATAATTTGTTCTAAGGAATCACTTTCATCTGTCATGTAAACACGTGCTTACGTAACTTTATAAAAGTATCCTGTTACTTTTTCAGGTCCAGGATGATCTGCTGTAGTATTAGCTAAATTTCCTATTTGTGAGCAGTACTGGAAGGATAATTCTGGAAGCAACCTGGTTTAATCTACAGCATTGATTATTTTGAGATGTACACAGGCTCTGAAAATGCTTATATTACTCTCCTTCAGTAGCTCATTTCTAATTTAGAGAAAACAAGATCAGAATTTTTGCGTGCATCCCTTTTGGGGACAATTCTTTTGGTATGGAGATTGGCTTTTGTCATCCTCAGTCTTGTAGGTACTGGATGTCAGCTGTTCTCTATGCTGAAAGATAATAGTAAGACGAAGACTTTTGTTGCTCTAGGTTGGAAAATGAAATATTATTCCTTCAAAGAATCCAGATGCTTGTTTTGGCTTAGAAACTTAAAAATAATTAAAAAAAAAATTAGTATTTTTGATGAAGGAGAAGACATGAAAATGGTCACATATGAATCCATTTTATACTTGTTCATATTGGTGGTCATCACTTTCTTTTTTTCTTTCTCCCCACTTCTAAAAAAATAGAATTTAAGCTTCAGGTAAATGTCTTTCATTTCTGCTTTCAACTTTACTAATATTAATATATAGATATTAATATTATTAATAATAATATTAATATTAGTCAAGCAAATACATACATCAGATGTTAACTCTGTTTTAATCCCAACTGTTTTTCTGTGTATTAGAGATGCTTCATTTTTAGTGTTTATTAAGATAAAAGGCAGTATATCCTGACTTGGTTTTCCATTGTGTAGCAATACTGAAAGAAGCACTTATCAATAAATGCTTTAGGCACTTCTCAAGTACAGTGCAAAAAAAGGAGGGAGGGAATATTAGAAGAAAATACTTTGCCTTCCCAATACCCTTTTGGGAAGGGAAACCTATAGAAAGGAGTGAATGAGATAAGCATGAATGTTCAGGGGAAAAAAAAAAAAAAAAAAAGAAGAAAGTCAAAGTTGCCACCAGGAGGAGCAATACTAAAATATTCCTATTTATTTACAGGCACAGTCATCTGGTGCTGTATCTGTAAACTGTCTTTCTTTAGGAGTTTCATAAGTTGTTAAGGGTATGGTACTTCACAGAGTGTTTTAGCATGCAGCTTAGAAATGAAATTTAAGAACTTCAATATTTTTACAAATTATAACCTGGGAAAACTGTGATTCTTTTGACATTTGACAGTTTATTCAAATCTGCTCTGTATCCTGGTTTCAGTGTACTATGTTGTTGGCTAGGTTCTGAATCGAAGTGAGATCTGTTTTTGTGTCTCTGGACCAAAACATAACAGAACTATTTGTGGGAGCTGGTCTATTGGTACTCTTACTAAATATGGTACTCCATGCCTACTTTGACCACATTCGTGAAACAGGCACTCACACAGTGTAGCTGGTCCTTGCAATTACATTTATATTGCAGGCGAGTTGTCTGTCGTGTCAGGGAATAACAGGAAAGGAAAAGAGCTAGTTCAGTAAGAAATAAAAATGGCCAGAACTAGAGAGTTGAGTACCTGGAGTTCCCTTTCTGCACTCCTTACAGGTTTCTCCATAGTTAAAATATGAAGCATATTAAAGCAACACAGATTTGAGAAAAAGGAAAAATTAGTTTGTGGGTGAAATCTTGTTTTAATGTTCTATTAACAGGCATGTTACTTGTAATCAGTACATAATGTTATTATATAATGCTTTTATATGAGCTATGTAGCTGGACTATTTTTCTAACCAGGGGTATTTTGTATCAGGATGCAGTTGAAGTTCTTTTACAGTAGCGAAAAAATATATATACATACACATACATGACTGTTTTCAGTTGGACTGGGAAGTTTATAAAATTAGTTAAAGTAGTATACGTAAAATTTTAAAATTTGGCTTACAGTGTCTTCACACAGTGGTGGGTATTATTTCTTGTTTAATCAATGAGAGGAACATTAAAGATGTACTCATGTAGAAAGTGCTTGTATACATTCATGAAGTGCTGTGCTATTGTGCATATAGTTGAAATCAAACTGCAAAAATGAGTGGCATTTCCCAATAGTATTTTCAAATATTGATATTACATATAAAGTTAATAATTAATTAACTGGATTGTCATTATTTCTCTATTTTACATTCCTGGCACATTGATTCAAAATCATAGAATCATAGAATGGGTTGAAAGAGACCTGTAAGATTATCTAGTTCCAGCCCCCTGCTATAGGCAGGGATACCTTCCATTAGAACAGGTCATAGCCCCATCCAGCCTGGCCTTAAATGCTTTCAGAAGGGGGCATTCACCACCTCGCTGAGCAACCTGTTCCAGTGTCTCACCATCCTCACAGTAAAGAATTTCTTCCTAATATCTAGTCTAAATCTGCCCTTCCTTTTTAAAACCATTTCTCCTTGTCCTGTCTCTACATGACCTCTAAAAAGTCCCTCCTCAGCTTTCCTGTAGGCCCCCTTCATGGACTGGGAGGCTGTTATAAGGTCTTTCTGGAGCCTTCTCTTCTCCAGGCTGCAGAGCTCCAGCTCTCTCAGCCTGTGCCCGTAGGGAAGGTGCTCCAGCCCTCTGATCATCTTTGTGTCCCTCTGCGCCTGTTCCAACAGCTCCATGCCCTTCTCATGTTGAGGGTCCCAGAACTGGATGCAGTGCTACAGGTGAGGTCTCATGAGAGCACAGTAAAGAGGCAGAATCACTTCCTCCAACCTGCTGGGCATGCTTCTCTTGATGCATGCCAGTATATGGTTGGCCTTCTGGGCTGCGAGCACAGCTGACAGCTGTGAGTGTCCCTATTTAAGGAAATGTCGAGTCTTCCATCAACCAGCACTTCCAGATCCAGCTCCTTGGGATTGCTCTCAAGCCATTCTCTGCCCAACCTGTATTTGTGCTTTGGATTGCCCCTCTTCTTGATGTTCTGTCAAGGCAGGATGTTGTCAAGATACTAGATGCAAAGCGTTATCTAGATAAGGGTGATACCCTTGGTGATGGTCTATTACAGACCAACCAAACAAAATTTATTGCTGAGTCCTGGAGAAGCATACAAGTCCAGAAGATCAGTGAGATATTCAAAGCTGGGTGCAAAAGTGAGTGTGTGGGACATATTTTTGGTAAATTGATGTTGCTGTACAGCTGACAGATAGGATGAAGTTTTTTCTTCTACTTTTATAGGGTGCCTTTTTTGTTTCATGTTTTTTAGTATTATTAAACCTGCTAATCTGCAGTATAGCTAGGTCACGTGAAGACATAAAAAGCAATGAATAAGCATCTAAATTATCACTTCTTAACTTGGTTTTCCAAAATGCTCTGCTGCATTCTGACCAGTGTTTCTTGATAGGATGAAGATGAGCTGGACTCGCACACCATGGTGAAGACCAATTCAGAGAGTGCTAGTACCATGCGGGCCACGAGCACAATGAGTGAAGGTGCTCAGACAATGATTGAACACAACAGTACCATGCTAGAGTCAGACCTGGGGACCATGGTAATAAATAGCGACGATGACGAAGAGGAAGATGGGACCATGAAAAGTATGTTTTTTTATTTACTTTCCTTTTTTGTTAATAATGCATGATGTTTTCTCATCTTCTGTGAGAACATTCTATCATCAGTGTCCTTTAAGGGTCAAGCTCAGTGGTTAAAAGTCAGGGAGAGGGCTGTTTGTTTCTATGAATGCACTTTGTCATTTGTTGGAGAAGGGCAACTTTAGTGGGAGATTCAAACCACTACATGTAACTTTGGTATTTTGCTGAGCCTTTCTGGAGGACTCAGAAATTAGCCTACTGTGAATTCTGCCTTCTACTACTTGTCATTTGCTTTTTGCCTCCTGTCCTGCATCCGTTTGGAGCAGCTCCAAGGAACTATACTCAAGTGGTGAGATTGTGTGGGAAGGTGCTGTTTTAGTGTCGGTGTTCCTGGAAACTCATTGCAACTCTCCATGGATTCAGCAGTCAGATCTTGCTGCAAAATTATTTTGTAAATTCATGGCATTTGTTAAAATTTAATTTGGTAATGCTTGATTTAAGGGAATGGCCAAAACATACTGAAATAAATTAAAAAGTCAAAATCAACTTCAGTGGTATGAAAGATTATATAACAAAGGGGGAAAAGAGTGTTTTAAAAGTTGAAGTTGTCAGTTAGACTGAGATGTGTATAATGTGTTTGTTATACAGTAAACATACATGTTTACTTTTGACCTGTTTGTTACTTGGCTGAAGACTTCCCACTGAATTTAAGTTAATCCATTTATTTGAAAGGGCAGCATCAGTAGGTGATACTGTAGCTTTAGTGCTTGATTCTGTGAGACAAAATATAATGCTTTACTCCAGGCAGTTGTTTAAATAAACTTGTTGAACGATTTGTACCAAACAAGATTGCATTTCTGTGCAAAAGCCTGCTGTAATTTGGTTGGAAAGATTGTTTGGAAGTGTAAATCAGGTGCATTTACCTTGTGGTTGGATGTACAGAGGAGAGGAAGATCTGCTCATTTCTGCTTTTTTTTCCCTGTTATTTATTTTTCTGTTGTTGTTGACCTTTTTTTTCTTCAGTGTTCTTGGCAGTAAGGCTATAAACCTGTTGATTAGTGTTTAAATTAAACAGGATGATTCACTTCATGTAAACAGTGCAGGCTTTAATTTGTTCTCATGCTGATACAGTATTTACCTATTAAACTGTGAGGGTAAGGGGGGGTTAGAACAAATGATCTTAAACTAACACATTTCAACAAGTTTAGGAACAGAGTAGTGATAGTGAATACTTGATATTATATTATAAGATATTATAAGCAAATAAAATAATTCCTATGATGAAATTATTATGAAGCAGGGGACTTCTGCAGTTTCTAAGCAGCCTTTCAAATCACTTAAGTTTTAGTAACTATCCATGCCATTTTTCTATGTGCTGAGGGGGAATATCTGTTAAACCAATTAAAAAAACAATTAAAAAAAAATGCCCTTCCATTTGCACTGCAATCTCTTATCCTTTTAGTTTCTTACCTTGCTGAAAATTAAAAATAAAAATAAAAAAAAAATTAAAAATTCAAATTGAATTGCTTTTGGTAGCAATTCCTATTAAGAAAGGGAATTGCCTTTCTGTACCTTGAGGGTTAATTAGTGTAGTTTTTAAGCTTGCTCTTACATCTTATGAAGCAGAAGAATGTAATCACTGAGACAGCAGGCTTTCTCCTCTTCCTCCCCTGTAGCTGACTCTCTTGGTAGCTGTAACAGTAAAGAAGGAAAGTTGGCACCCTGGAAGCAGCATGATGGCAAGTGATGGTTTCCTCATCCATCTGACAGGGGCAGGTTTGGGTTCCCGCACTTGCACACTGAACTGTGTTTTGCATTAGATGTCCAATGCTTAAAAGTTAGAAGTAATTCAAGAATAAGGCACTCACATCTCTCAGCAGTAAATAAATATAAATCATGTCTACTTTAGCTGCTTTTCCTCTGCTTCTGTGATTCGTATGTTATGGACTGAAGAAGGAGCAATAGCAGGTGTCCTAAAGAAATGTCACTGGGAATGAGACAGTGTGCAAATCATTGCTCTCCCTGAGAGAGAGCATGGATCTGGGCTCCTTTGTGCTTGACAATGATACAAGATTTCTGTGTTTGGTTGCTTTTTCCAGCATGCCTTTATAGGCAAAGTGGGCACAGTGGGCATTTCCTAGTTGTTTGCATAACTCAATAGTAATACAGCAGAACAGGTAGCTTGAAAGTGCTCTTCAGTACTTTTGAATAACAAAACACTTGCAAGCAGTGTGGATAAATAAACTTAGTTAACTAGGGAGAGGGACTTGATTTTCCTTCCTAGGAAAATACTTTATGACAAATGTTTTTGTAATGCTCTTGTGTTCAGTTTCGCATTTGTTTCCCTCTGTCTTTTGTTTCTCTGCTCAAGAACAAAATAAGAAACAATAATAATTTTTTTTATAAGTGCCCATGCTTAGAGGCCTCTGGGAGCCATGACAGAAAATAATTAAAAACATGCATATTTTTTTTTTCCCAAATAGTGGGTTGTGCCCAAATAAAACAGGGATTTGGAACAAAGAGGTCTGTTATCCTACCCTAACATACCACATACAGCCTAGCAATAAATAACATTTATGCTTTCCTACTTCGTGTGCCTGTATGTGCTGTGAGCAGAGATGATGCAGTATGTAACAGAAAGGAACACAATGCAGAATACAGAGATGCGGGAGGACGGAGTTAAATTTGGGCGGTTTAACATGAAGTCAAAGAAAGATTGGGATTGATGGCAGGTAGCACTACCAGTTACATATCCAGTGTAAGAATTTGAAAGTAGAATTCATGAGAGTTGATTTTATTAATTAATTTGTTAGTGATTAAAATCCATCCTGTTTAAGAGCGTGCCATAGAAGACAGTCTTTGTAACAGGAGGTGACCACTTGGTTAACCGAAGTACATCCTTATTAGTATGGTCCCACAGTTGTTTTTCAACTTAAAAGAAAAAGCTGTTTGTAAGTTTTTTGTTTTTTTGTTTTGTTTTTAATAACAGCCTATGACCCAGGACTTCTTAACAGCCTCACGATGGGCTAGACTCATGTACAACCCTCTGTAAATGTGAACAAGTTTCCACGTAACAATTTCTTGGGCAAATACATTTATTAGATAATGCAGAAGTGTGTGTAGTCAGTGTTAAGAGATGAATTCATAGTATAAAGTAGAGTCTCAGAAGTAGTTCTTTTCAATCAAGACTTCATTAAGGATGTTTCTGAATTGGGAAACTTTTCTGTTATACGCTTATTTCTCATAGTTAATTTACAAGAATGAATGACTATTGCATTTACGGTGGGGGCTCGTAACATCTGTCTCATTCTCTATTGTGGAGTTTTAGCACTTTTGGAAAATCCAGTCAAGAGATGTCAGTATAATACCCCTCTGCATTCCTATAGTAATAGAAAAGAATAGCTGTACTAGTAGAAGTTAGTAAGGCGTGACTTTTTTCCTGTCGTATAACTGTTAGTTATTCCATGTTGGTTTCTCAAATGTTCTCATAAATGGCTTTTAAAATTACTCAACAACCTAATTCAGACAATACTTCTCTAATTATCTCTTTAGTGCTTCACTTACTATCTCTAGAGAATTATCTCTTCTGTAAAAGAGACTCTTTGGATCTTTAAATATCTCTCTTGCATTTTAAAACAATTCTTAAAAATTGTCTTCCTTTTTTTTGGCAATTAGGATGTCTTAGTTTGAATGGAGTAATTATGAATTTATAAGAACCAGCAAAGAAGCTTAATTATGGGTTGATTTCAACAGTACTTTAGCCTGGGCATTGGTATTTCATTGATGTAGCTTTGTTCATGTGAGAGAGAAAAAGATGATAAATGTCTCTATACTTGGTGGAGACCTCCTCTATAATTGATAATTAAGTTGCTCGTTTATTCCATTAGTAGGAGTAGGTTTTACAAATGGGTCCTTTCTCAAAGAAAAAAACGTTGGCAATTCAAGATCTGTTGGATCTGTCAGGATCATGTTGGATCAAGAGCTGTTGCAAAACAGCAAAACAGTTGGCTTAACGTGGATTTTCTTCGTTTTGCAGAAAGCAGAAATAAAGCTTCACTCAGCTGGAGCAGAGTAGTGAGTTTATAACAGGACTGTCATTTAATTTTTTTCCCCTTTCTCCAGAAGGTGGAAAAAATAGATCTGAAGTTATTAAAGTATTTTACAAGTCCCATTCTCAGGTAGGAAAAAAAATGTGCAGAAAACCTTTTCCATAAAAAGCTTTTAAACTTGAGTTCATAGACTCTTCAAAAAATCTGAAGCCTTTATCTGGTTGAAAAATATCTGAATTTTCCACTTAAATACCAGTTGCAATTATTGATTACAAAGTATAGTGTAAAGCAAATAAAAATCTTCTCTTAGATGATAGAATTCTCAATAGTTTAAGTAATGACGGTTTTATTCTTTCATTTTTTCCTCTTAGCTGTCTACTCTATATATTGAATGAGACTTGGCTTGGATATGCAAGTCACTGGTATGAAAACTGCAGAATCAGTAATGAGTACTTAGTTAGGCATGTATTTGCAGTCAGACATATCCTAGATGTATTTCTTAGTTCTCTGATAGACTCCCAGCTGCTCTGCTCTAAGCAAATGGTGGTCAGGTAGATGGAGATTGCCAGGATAGGGAAGACTAAGAAACTTATGGCTTTAGGCAAAAGCAGAAAGCTTTCCTCTGTAGATTTGCAAACAAAAGAAACAGGAAATTGTGGGAGACACTTCCCTAAGAGATGTAGGCCCTTGTCTGCTGGGAAGGAACTTCTTCTGCACCTGCAGATTGTGGTACAACCCACCTGGACAGGTGTAGGAGGTGGAAAAGGTCTTGAAACTACTTGAGGAAGTCTCTGGAATATAGACCTTGTTGGTTGTGTTTTTGTTTTGTTTTAATGTAGGAGTACTGGAGTCCAATACACTCTGATCAGGTTCTTGCGTGATGTTTAATAGCAATTTTACTTCTTTGAAGATATTTGATGTTATGTGGGACTTTTGATTTAGAATTGATACAAAATATGCTGAAATCATAATGCAAGTGTAAGTTACACTCATCCAAATGTTTGAATAGCACTGTATAGTTCATTCAGAGTAACAAGATGATCCCCATTAATGTGTCTGTTTTACACTCACTCTCTTGACACTAGATGTCCCCAGTTGCTGAGAAGGATTACACGGTGACAGGCAGCTCAAGCTAGAGATGCTCTCTTTGAAGTTAGTTTGTTAGTTGTTCAGTTTTAAAGTCAGTGATGACCGGAGACGTACATAGCCAGAGCAGTATGGAAGGAGTATATAACTTGGGGAGGTATACAGTGTTTAATGAACTCAGGGATAAATATTTACATCACCAGCTGGCATAGCTGTTCACCCGAAACGAAAACTAGTCTTCTCTTTGTGTTGAGATGAAGTTAGGTTTTTTTTTTTGCAACAGCTGCAATTGTACCCTACGTTACTCCCTGGAGCTTCAGAGTGTGATGAAACCCTCCATTATTCCCTTAACATTGTGGACACATTGCTCTTCCCCATCATCTGAATTTTCTCCCACTGTAGGGGATTAGTGGTCAGTCACAGGGATTTACACCTTCCTAACATCAGCTGGAAGGGGCACCTCAGTGAAATGCAAGAAATTCAGGAATCTCCTGGAGGGCATCAGAGATCATTTCACGATATTCCCACTGGATTAACTGAAGAGGGGTAATGCACAGCTGATTTACTATTCACAAGCAAGGTACAATTGGTTGGGATTGCCAGTGGCAACTGGGCTGTAGTGACCATAAAATGGAGAAGTTGAAGAACTCGAGTGAGAAAAACAGGTATAGATCCTGAATTTCAGGGGAACAGATCTTGACTTACTGTATTATTCATAGACAGTAATAATAGTTTATTGAAGGGATTTTAAAGGAATTAAAAATCAATTTAATGTTAATACCTCACTGTTGGAAATATATCACTATGATATATTTTTCTTTATAGATGACATCAATTGAATTTGATCAAAACTTGCATTAGAGTGGAATGTGTATTCTTTCTTACTTTGAAATGCTTATTTAGAATTAGTTTTCCCTGTCAGACTTCTTTTAGAAATGCTTATTTAGAATTAGTTTTCCCTGTCAGACTTCTTTTAGTTTCGGCATGTTTCTGAGACCAACAGATTGGGCCAACAATGGGGTACTTCAGTGTTTCTAAGAGAGACACTGTTAATCTTATTTATAAGTGTGTCTTAAGGATGAAACTGACATACAGCAATCTCTGCAGAAGAAAGAACTAAAATGTAAAAGGTCCTCAGTGTGGTGTCCTACCTTTTTGATACAAATACATGCATTTGTAGCAGTATTTGGCAAGTAATAAATAAATAGAAATTCTAATAATAAATATTTTGTTAAGATTGTGCATTGTATTCTGTTTTTATCCCCTTTTCCTCCCCACATACTGCTACTTTCTCTTGAATCTGTTTTATGAATTTATGCTCTGCTGAAATATAGATTCTTCCATTTTTGCCCATCAGTACTTATTTCTGAATTGTTTGGCATTCCTGCTGTTTCTTCCTTATCCTATCCACTGCTCCTTAGTCCAGTGATCCATAAACCTCATTCAGGCAATTTGGGTTCAATGGGGCACACCTGGGAGCTTCTGGAGAAGGATAACTGCTGTGCAGTCTGCTAAATTCAAGCTGGAGTTTAGTTCCCGGAATATTTTTGTATAGGAAACAATTGCCATAAAGTAAAATAAAATAGAAAATAGTGAGTAGAGAAGACTGAGATGTAGGATCAGAGAAGAATACGGTTGCAACTGAAAGAAAATGTGGTTAAAATAGGGTGGGGGTGGAGGGGTGTGAATGGGATTGGTATGGAAATGTAGCAGACTGAATGGAGGAATCATTACGGGGTGGAAGAGTAGCAACTGGGCTCTGTGCAGTAAAGTCTAGGATAAAAGGCAAGGCAGAAAAAACACATTCAAAAACCCAGGAGAAATTGTACTGGCAGAAATGAAAGGATAAATCAACATGCCATGAAAAAGAGCAGTGCTGAAATGGATTAATGAAAAAGGATTGCTATTCATCATGCAGCAAAATTAGATTGAATATTAAAAAGTCCATACAGAGGGAATGGGTTATCGCAGGAAAAGATGATGAGATAGGAGGTGAAAGTGGAGGAATAAACATCTGATGAATTAACGAAAACAAAAATAAGGCCAAGTGTGAAGATAAGCAAGTCCTAGTGTTTGTGCTAAAAGCTAGCTCAAAAATAGTCTTCCAGTGTTATTCCTTTTCTCTTTTTAAAACAAGTCGTTCATGTAGAAATTCCTAATTCTTTTATTATGCTTATAATTAGAGGGCATAGTCCTCCCTGCATTTTTTCAACTTGGTTATTTATATTTTCCTTCCTGTTTCGCATTTTATTTGTAAATATATATTTAAATTCACTCTATGTAGAGAGTATTATGCTGTAAACAAGTATGCATTTCATGAATCATAATGTTATGCAGAATATAGTCTCTGAGGAGACAGCTATGTAGAACTACTAAAACATTTCTTATGTTTTATTTATTGTTCTGTTTATTAATGAACTTATTTTGAAATCCCACAAATGAAAACGAATCCAAATCATTTAGGGTTGTAGATATATTTTTTTAAAATCTATTTTCATGAAAAGAATACTAGACTGGGGGCTCACACTGGTCTTGATCTGCTTCATAAAGCTCTTGCAGCTGCGTAGCTGATGACAAAAATCCTGCAGTGTTTCCATGCCATAAAGATGGGTGCTTTACAGCCGTCTGGAAAGTGTGATCCCATAATATGCTAAGAATCACAAACTGGCAATAAGTTTGATTAAGCAGCATTTAGACACCGTTTGTGTGGCTGTTTTTTGCAAGTTCTTCTGAATCGAAGTCCCACCTTTTGTGAAACTGCAGGATTCTGCACAGTATTCTATTACTTTACTACAAGTGCACGTGGACTAGGCCTTAAAGTTAAGGGCATTCAGCACCCAGAGGGATGCTTAGCACCTTGTGTTATTCAGTTTCTATAACAACAAATAGATATCACATGAAGTAACTTCTAATATTATCAGTGTGTGCAGCTCTGAAATGTCTTGAACATTTCTCCACATTGCATCTTGCTACAAATATATCTCTCTTCAGCTATGAGCTTTTATGCCAGACATCCTCAAGGGACAAATGGAGACTTGCACCACATACAGATGACTGTATTAGACTCTGTAAACTCCAAGAAACTTAGTAAATTGAGTTAATTTTATAGTACAGTAAATCTTACATCTTTAAATTGTTTCATCTTATTTTCTTTTTTTCTTTCAACTAAGGAAATGCTGCTTCACCTCAAGTTCAAAGACCTTCTTTCATGGACTACTTTGATAAACAAGATTCTAAGAATAAAAGCCCTGAAAACTGTAATCAGAATATGCATGAACCTTACCACATATCTAAAAATGTTTTCCCCGATAACTGGAAAGTCCCTCAAGACGGAGATTTTGATTTTGTAAGTACATTTTTATTATTTGCTTTGGTACATGCTGTTTATTTTATATGTGCCAAAATAGTTAATCTTGTTTTATAACTATGTTAATACAAGGGAAATAAGTAATCTTTCAAGAATACTATCCAATTATCTAATCTTCATATCTCATACTGGCTGTGCAATAAGTGTATTTGCGGAACGGGGGACCTTTCTAATACGTGGAGCTATATGACACTATAAATAAACTTCGTTATAAGTTGAGGTTTTTAGTAAAAAGTATTTTTCATTCTACAACTTGTGTTATAAAAACTTTCAAATTTGACCCAGTTCTATTAAAAAATATTGCTACAGGTATGAAATATTGTCCTGTTTTGTGAATATCTCAGTGAGACAATAAGCATTTGAACATAGATGGAGACATCAAATCCATCTGCTCTGAGGTGGTCAAGATTACTTACTATTTTGCACGAGCCAAGTTGTTGATGCTATTCCAATAACATGTACCTCTCTTCATGAAATTTTTGTATTTAACACCACTCTATCTATTCAAGGGCATTTTTTTCTTCCCCTCCAAAATATGTTTTTTTTGTTTGATTGGTTGTTCTTTGTTTTTTGTTGTTGTTTTTTTTCCCCCTATGTTACAAATTATAACACAAGCAAAAAAAAAAAAAAAAAAGCTATGTATAAGAACATCTTATTCTAGGATACTCTCAAAATAGTGTAAGTATCTCCTCTTTAGAAAGTTGGAGATAATTATACCTGTTTTTTTACTTTTCTTACATTTTTTTCTTATATTTTTTAGCATTGTTAATGAAAGAATTTAGTTTATCTGCTGTAACTTATACATGTTCTTCACTGCAGTGCAGTAGCTAAGTGTGATCACATGGCACCTTTTTGAAAGTACACTTGGGGTTTGGAGAAAAACATTGTGTTTAATTTTAGGTGACAGCTGTAGGTGTGGGATTTTTTTTCCAGTTTTCACTTACTGCATCTCCACATAAAGCTGACTCTAAAATTTTAAGCTACTGGAGTAAAGCCAGTTAAACAGCACAGTACAGGCTGTTGCTGCCAGAGAGTTTTAATTGAGTTAGATTTTAGTTTGGGTGGGCTTTTCAGGCTTTTCTTTTCTTTAAACCCTCAAATGTAATATTCATCTTGATAATTGAACAAAACAATTACTTTCTTTAGTCATTGGAAAGTGACTCTTCTCTAAGTGGCAATAAAATTGCCCTTAGAACAATTGAAAATTTATTCCGTCTTTTCCATCACTTACTGAGAAATGCAAGTATAAATGATTTTTTTGTAGATGCTAAAGATCCTGATTTTGTAAGTGTTTATTCATGAATAATTTTTGCACATGAATAATCCTCATAATAGCTCGTTGGTATTGCTTATACATGCAAGTTCTCTTGTAATAAGTTTGTCCTAGGACCATGCCCCGAGGAGGTCTTGTTTTCAGAAGTATGTGTGCTGTGTGTGATAGGCAGACATTGCTGGTAGTTTCAGTATGAATGGCACATGAAGGACCTCAGAAACTGCACAACGTGTGGTTTGTCCTTGACTCTCTGAAGAGGCAGGCAGCGCTGAAAGGCTTGTCACTACAAAATTATTCTGATATTGGAACAAATAGTGTAATAACTGTTTGCACGGGCATTGTACATACTCAGTCTTGGAGGGATCTTGTTTTAAACATAACAAAAGCCAAATACTTCCATAGGTAAGTCAGCCTAAGAAGGAGTTCAGGAAGACTCATTAATAATGGATGTCCTGCTTCAGAGCAGACCACTAATGAATATGTTTCTCTGAAGCATGTGTTGCCAGGTGATGTCACACAGCACACTGGTTTTAACAGCCTGCTGGTTTGAACCATAGGCAAATATTATTTATTCATACATTCTAGAAGGACTTCTACTTATCTTTTAGCCAGTGAGTGGCATTACTGATAAGCGACCTACGAGAGACTTTCTGAAAGGCTAAATCAGTGAGTAGCATGCATAATATATTGTCCACTTTTTGTAAGGTGAACGTGAATGTTTGCCGTTGCTGGCATAAAGTCTCTAAATGATTCATGAAAAGGATAAATAATGGAAACTTTTCCTAGTAAATAGTTCTATTTTGGTTGGAATTTTCCTTAATGGGATCTAGAAGGGGATCCTGACATTAAATGCTTGCAGTCATCATTTTATTTAAAGAAGGGATTAATACACTAGAATGGAAGTCTAAATGAAAAAATCTAGCTTAATGCTAATACACTTTCCTGCAATTCTGTCTCCTATGAGGAAGGGAAGGTGAGCTCTGTAAGCTGGAGATCATCAAACTTGTTTGCTGAATGACACCATTACTCTAAGAAAGCTTTCTTAACCACGTGGTCATGCAAGCCAGACATAGCATGCCATTGTTGGCTTCACCTGTGAGTCCTGGCAGACTGACAGTGCCATGCTGAGAACAGTTATTTGAGTGTATCACTTGGAAAGACTTCAAAGTTAATTAGCATGTGGGTCTCTTAAGGCATAAAATGAAGAAGGAAAAAGACCATTGAGAAACTGGTGGGAGACTCGAGGGAACAGGAAGAAGGAATAATCCTTATAATTCCCTGCAAATAATTGATTTACTCATATGTGTATATAAGATGAGACCTGAGGAGATAATACTTCAGGCCAAAGGATATATTTGTGTTAGTTGTCAGTTCTATTTTATCTAATTACTGCTGTATTTTACTGTTTGATAAAATAATAAACAGTTATTTAATTTTGTTTAAATAGACATGTAATGCAGATATAACGGCCTTACACACTTGCTAACATTTTTAGATTATGTAAATAAATTATGCAGGAAATTATAAGTTGGATAAATGAAAGTGTAAAATAATGCAAAATTAATTTAGCACTAAGTCTGGTTTGAAAGTTTTTGTGTGGGCATAGTTTTCTGTCCTGATGTGAATGTTTTAAAATCTACTTGCCAATGAAAATAGAAGATTTGTCCAAGAAAATAAGATGCTCTGGTCACCAATCCGAGTTTTAAAATAAGAAATGTTAGCAACGTTTTTTCACTCTGAAAGTATGTATTTGGGATTTGTTTTTTACTATTGAAGTCCATCTGTTTCGAAAGTCAAAAACTGCTCATATTTCTTTTTCACAAATGCCATATGGGAGATCCATCTCTCTCCTGTTGACTGTTGGTCCTGCTGGCCTTCAGTCCCTTGATCAATCTGTGCTGGTTATGGATGTCATGTTTCACGAATTGATGAGGAACAAATTTTCACTGCAGATCTTCAAGTTTAGCATCGTATTGAATCAGATATATTATAAATAACTTCTCAGGAGACTTAATTTTGATACTGAATAGTGACCTATATATATATGTGGGTGGAATATATGTATGTTGGAATAGTATATATAGTATATCTACAGATAGATTGTGGAATATTACACTATTCCAAATTTGCCGTAATTGTGTGCTTCAAGGCTAAGATGCTGTTTTACATGGATGAGATGTGGGTGTTTTTTTGTTTTTTTCTTTGGTTGTTGTTTTCTACATTTTTTTCCTTGCTCTTTAAAAAAAAATATATATATATTCTTCAACACTATATTTTCTGTGCCTAGGAATTTTTATAGTTGGTTGTTTTATAGTTGGGTTTTTTTTTTGTTTTTGTTTTTTTTTTTAATTTTAGCTTTCATTTATTCTGTTACCTATTTATGTTATATCATGCTAAATTCTGGAAACCTCAAAATATGGATCTTCTATATCAGCGACTCTAAGGTAAATGTATTACTGGTTAAATGCTTGTGAACATTTTGTTCAGTTTGGCATTTCAAAAAAGGAATGCTCAAGCTCTGGATATAAATGTTACAAAAAGAAACCAATGTTTGTTCAAACGTCAGCTTTTACTAAATTTCAGCATATACTTCACACTCTCAAAGATGGCTGTGGGTTTTCTTTCTCAGTGATTACTTCTGAATACAGGCAATCATTTTATGTTTCCCTGTTTTTAAGGCATTCAGCAAATGATGAAATTATATCAGTATTTCCAACTCTTAATTTACTCAGTTTTATTTGGGCTTAAGTGATGTTTTATGCCCAGCGAACCCTGATGTCAACAAGAAACTGCTCATTGTGAAGAGAAGTGGAATTGTATCATTGAATAAGTAGTAATGTTATTTATGGCAGTGTGAATGATATATGATATAAGCAGCTTTTCGTAATGAAGCTTAACTGCTGAATGGGCCAACTTTTGGTCTTTCTGCCTCGCAGCTCACAAAGCAGCTGTTTGGAATGGAGCACCGAATTAGGTTGAATGATGTGGTGCTTGTTTTGGCCACCTGAATGACCAGTCCTTTTAAGCACAATTATTTTTTTAATAGATGGTAAGCATTGGCCTGTTTCTGTTATGATAGCTTTTTTCTTTGTATGAGGTGGTTTTCCATCAGCTATGTTCATGCTGGAGAGAAGCATGTGTTAAATGAGGAGTATAACTAAAGGTGTCATTGAAGCAGATTGCTCAGATTTATCCTTTTGCTTTTTACAATGTTTGTGGTGTTTTTTATATATAGCTTTTGTCAGAGTATTTTTTTTTTTTAAATGAGCATTATATAAGAGTTTTCACAACAAATATGGTGAACTTTTATAAGGAAAACTCGCTTGAAACTTAGTGTGGGGAAAAACAGCTAACTGTTAACTTTCAAGAGTAGTGTGCTATGTTTACATACTGTGAATTAACCTCTGTCTTACATTTGTTCTGTATTATGATTATCATGACATTTTAGGTCTCATTAAGATACACAATTGATTTGCAAAACCTGCCCCTTTGTAAGGTGTGTTGTATTAGCATGGGATATAATGTTAACAAAGCATTTACATGAACTACAATGAAGTAATATCTAACTGATAATAACTTGTGAGTTGATGCTGCTCAGGTGCTCAAGTTCACTTGCACTGATCCAATCTATTATTTCATTTTAAATTAAAAATAATAATAATACTTTTTGCTTTAAAATATTGATGATAAAATGTTAAAAGGCAAA